CGGCCCTCCATCACTCCACATTCAGAGCCGCCCAGTTATCTTTCTGTCCTGATAAACACAAGAGGAGGGAATGTAAGGAAACGGCATGCAAAACTCCCTTAATATCATAAACAACACCTTAGCTTAGATTTGCTGGATCAATTTGATTTGATTACATTTATGGTTACTTAATCAGGGTGGAAGAAGTACTCAGATCTTGTACTTGATTAAAGTAGAAGTACTCAGATCTTCGTAGTAAAAGTAGAAGTACTCAGATCTTGTACTTGAGTAAAAGTAGAAGTACTCAGATCTTGTAGTAAAAGTAGAAGTACTCAGATCTTGTACTTGAGGCTAACTGCCAAATAACTGCCAAAGTTACTAACAGCCAACTACTAACAGCCAACAACTACTAACTGCCAACTACTAACAGCCACCTACTAACTGCCAACTGCTAACTGCCAAATAACTGCCAAAGTTACTAACAGCCAACTGCTAACTACTAACTGCCAACTACTAACTGCTAACAGCCAACTACTAACAGCCAACAATTACTAACTGCCAACTACTAACAGCCAACTACTAACTGCCAACTACTAACAGCCACCTACTAACTGCCAACTGCCAAATAACTGCCAAAGTTACTAACAGCCAACTGCCAACTGCCAACTGCCAACTGCCAACAGCCAACTGCTAACAGCCAACTACTAACTGCTAACTGCCAACTACTAACAGCTAACTGCCAACTACTAACTGCTAACTGCTAACTACTAACTGCTGCTAACAATAGCTGCTTTCAGCTAGTTAGCTGTTAGCTCAGTTAGCAATGCTAACAGGACTGGGCGCTAGCACCAGGGGAGTGTTTGTGTTTACACCGTTAGCACAGGAGCTTGGATAAAGAAGTTTTCAGGACTAGGACCAGGACCAATGTCGGCCCACATCATAACCGGAGGAGCTAGCAATGGAGCCAGGTAAGTCATATTAGCTAACTTGCTTTGTCTTGTTGTGCTTGATTATTGACTGTTAGCAAAGTAATATTTGCCATTTACAACAGTGGTGAGAATTGAACTGTAAGAATCTGCATAATGTTGCTTTAAATTCTGTCACTGTCTGCCTCATCTATTGACATGTGGGTCCTTCTCCACTCACCTGCCAGACAGCTAAATAAAAGTGTACTTTGTAATAAAAAGACACACAGAGACACAAAAGATAACCAGAAAAAACAGTTTTTGTTATTATTTCAGATTAATTAATAAAATAGTTCACTTGAGATACTGTGTTTTAACATACAGTGCATTCTTCTACAATACTTGTGTGTTACACACAATTGAGCCCTCTAAGTTGTAACAGCCTTGCCATGTGGTGAATTTAATTATGAATACTTTGGCATAGTTTAGTGACAAACTATTTGTGGAAAAGACACGTGTAAACTGCGAATGCGTAAATATTGAAATCTCTAGTCTGAGGGCCTCATCTTAAACAATGGACGCTGATTTCATGCTTGGTTTACAAACGTTAAATATACAGAGTGGACAAAATAGCAGGAACATTTGATCTTTAAGTGACAGGAAGTTGTATGCAGGTGAATTCTCTCTGACCCCACTTTGATTTCACCTGTTTAACAGTCAAATACAACAGGTCAAAGCCTGAAGAATAATTTTCAAACTTTAAGACAACTATAACCTGGGTTTAGCCAAACAAAGTGCAAATCAATTATTAGAGAAACTTTCCCCGATATTCTGCACACTCATGGACAAAACCCCATCTACTTTACCCTGTGCAGTTTTAAAAAACACATTACTGAAGGTATACATGTCACACATAAGTATATAGTCTTGCTGATGTACAATATTCTATAAATATCACTGCCTGTTGCTTAATTACACATTTTTCCACTGGTTTCACATCGGCCTCCAGAAGTTATGTTGCAGAAACGCTTCCAGGCCAGTAACAGTATGAGCCATTTCAAAACAAAATCAATTATCTACATGTAAATATACTCCTCTGTTGAGACTGTCCCAGCCATGTGTTTGAGAATATTTCAAGCAGAGTTCATGTTTAAATATCTAAAGCCATTTAAATATATTGCTGCCCAGGTCTGGTCCCCGGGAGACAGATAGTGAAGAGATAGAGACACGAGACGACTGGAGTCAGCAGGCTGCGCCGGGGAAAGGTGACGAGCTGCTGAAAGTTTACTTGGCCTGCGGAAAGGTAAGCATAAATGTGGGATTAGACATTTGACAGAGGTACCTTTCACAAATACATTCACTGAAACAAACGTACTTATGACTATGAGTTGTCCTCCGTATTTGACGGCCCTCCATCACTCCACATTCAGAGCCGCCCAGTTATCTTTCTTGTCCTGATAAACACAAGAGGAGGAAATGTAAGGAAACGGCATGCAAAACTCCCTTAATATCATAAAACAACACCTTAGCTTAGATTTGCTGGATCAATTTGATTTGATTACATTTACGGTATTAATCAGGGGTGGAAGAAGTACTCAGATCTTGTACTTGATTAAAAGTAGAAGTACTCAGATCTTGTAGTAAAAGTAGAAGTACTCAGATCTTGTACTTGAGTAAAAGTAGAAGTACTCAGATCTTGTAGTAAAAGTAGAAGTACTCAGATCTTGTACTTGAGTAAAAGTAAAAGTACTCAGATCTTGTACTTGAGTAAAAGTAGAAGTACTCAGATCTTGTACTTGAGTAAAAGTAGAAGTACTTAGATCTTGTACTTGAGTAAAAGTAGAAGGACTCAGATCTTGTACTTAGTAAAAGTAGAAGTACTCAGATCTTGTACTTGAGTAAAAGTAGAAGTACTCAGATCTTGTACTTGAGTAAAAGTAGAAGTACTCAGATCTTGTACTTGAGTAAAAGTAGAAGTACTCAGATCTTGTACTTGAGTAAAAGTAGAAGTACTCAGATCTTGTACTTGAGTAAAAGTAGAAGTACTCAGATCTTGTACTTGAGTAAAAGTAGAAGTACTCAGATCTTGTACTTGAGTAAAAGTAGAAGTACTCAGATCTTGTACTTGAGTAAAAGTAGAAGTACCAGAGTGTAGGAATACTCTGTTACAGTAAAAGTCCTGCATTCAAAATGTTCCTCAAGTGAAAGTAGAAAAGTATTCTCATCAAAATATAGTGAAAGTAGCGACAGTAAAAGTAGTCATTGTGCAGATTGGTCCATTTCAGAATAATATATATGATATGTTTTATAATGATTGATCATGAAAGTGTTCTCAAAGCTGGTAAAGGTGCAGCTAGTTTGAATGACTTTGTATACTGCAGGGTAGCTGGTGGATTTACTCCAGGTGGAACTAAAGTCTGATTTAACACTTGATTATATTTCACATCATTCATCCACATCTGTGAAGTAACTAAAGGGATTAAATACATGTAGTGGAGTAGAAGTACACCATGTACCTCTGATTTTGGAGTAGAAGTACGAAGTAGCACAAAATGGAAATACCCAAGTAAAGTCCCTCAAATTAAACTTAAGTTCAGTACTTGAGTAAATGTACTTAGTTACTTTACACCACTGGTATTACATTGAACATATTGTGTGTTTCTGGAGGTCACATTACCTCCGCCATGACGGGCAGGTTGTCGTGAGGAAGAAGCCACATGGTCCGGCGGGCTTTGGTT